GATTTGATTGATTAACAATGGGATGATCAGAAATGAAACAGAAGGGGAAAATGCATTGATTTCAAGTAAAAATAGTGAACAAAATGGCAAACATAATTTGACATGAAAAACACATTTTGTAAGTATGAAAGGAAATTATTATAGGGAGCTTTACATGTTTGGAGATATTATAATGGTGAATAACAAGGAGTACAATGTATTAAACAGCTGAGTCTACATTTAATACACTCGTATGCCGCCTCATCGCTCACTCACCGTTTCTAAATTTATGCCATGTTAGCAGCGAGGGAAGCACTCCCCATTGAGAGATCAATCCAAATCGTATTTACCTCATCCACAATCAACTACAAGTAGCCAACGACAGGCCAGGGACTTGAGACTCAACTCTCCTCCTGCCACTGGGAGAAGGAAAATGCCAAGGCCTCTCCAGCCCTGGCCCCAACGATGCGAAGACAACAACAAGGAGAGATGTAAGGAATGATGTGATACATGGGATGAGAGATCTCCCATTCACTGCTTGATCCAAACACTCCCATATTGAGTCAGAGAAGTGGAAAACCATCGGATGATTGGAGTGATAAACATCAGAGTGGCCCACTAGAAAGTGTCAGGTAGCACCCTGTGAATTGCTGATTTGGAGAGGGCAAAGATACCATGGGCTGACAACAACAAGCATAATTTGGAATGATTTTTTTTTGTGGCAAAAAAACGACACTTTTTTATCAAAATGATTTGAGTTTGGTTGATGAAAATATAAAGACATACATGTAGATGATGTAAACAACATACAGATGATGTAAAATATTTTTTTGTTCCACACACCACCTATTTTGTAGTAATTTGACAGAATTCCCCACAAATTTTTGGCTTCTGGCCGATGCCATCATCATCATTGGTCGAGCAAAAAAGAAGAGGGAAAAAAGAAAAAAAAACGAAAAAAAAAAAACAAGAGGTGTGAAGTCATATTTGCTTTTAATTTAATACACATTTAACAAAATGGGTGTCTGCAGGGGTGTCTGCAGGGGTGGGGTGGGCAAATGTCCTGCCCACTCTTGAAAAAATGATAAATTGACAATATGCTAGAGAAAGTACAAGGAGTTTTGGGGAAAATGTGCCTCCCCCCCCAAGAAGAAATCCCTGGGCGCGCTAATGCTGTCAGGTTTTCCATTTTCACATCGAGGTTTTCACATGAGTTTTGTCTGTCTGTTGTTATCTGGCTGATGTGAATTTTGATATTAGATTATGAAATTCACTGAAACAGACTTTCCAAGACCTTGTGATAATTTTTTTTATAAAAGATGGAATCTCTATCTCCGTTTTTGCATCTTATGTCTTTCAATGAACACAAAAACACAGTGTATCACACAGCTTCTGATAAAATGGTCTCTCACAGCGCACGCAAACCCTCCCAGACATATTTGACATGAGACCTCCTTAATGGATTTAGGCACTTGACGTTAATTAACCCAGACCAGAGCACAAGGCGGAAGGGTCCTCTACACAGCATCTCAGCACCTGTTCAGGAATATTAACGAGTGAGTGTTAGAGAGTAGAGGGTGTGTAGTATCCGTATCAAACGCTGACATTATATGGGGGCCTGTTGACATGGGTTGATATGGAAATAATGAGGCTATAGATTGAGGTCTGATGACTTCTGACGATCTTACACATATGTTAAATACTTGTTGGAATAGGAAATGACAGCTTACTGGTTTGACGAAGGAGCATCTCTAGGATATACCACAATACATGTATACAAGCCTTTAAAATAATTGCAGCCTCCTAACAAACAAAAAATTATATAAAACAACAACTATATCTAGTGCTTTGAATGTCTTTCATTGACTACACGATATAAAGTAAGTGCACTTCTTTGTTTTTTTTTTCCTCTCTTTCTTTTTTTGCATTTTATACAGATTGGTTAAACTTGCTCTCGTCTGGGTTAAATCAAATTCAACAGTAGGATACCTTTTTAGGGTAAATTTGTAATACCTCCAGCTAAAACTCCATATGGAGTATTTAGGAGGAATACTATCCAAGATCCAACATCTAATTCCATTGAAGATGATTGTATTCTAAGGCTGATAATGGCAGAACCCATGGACACCCTACACATATACAGCAAGCATTTGATTGGCAGGTATATTTACATTATAAATAACCACGGGAGGTAATAAGAAGAAAATGAACTTTTAGCGGGACAGGCAACTGTAATTACACAACAATAATGAGACACATGGAGATTTCTCAGAATTATATGATACCTAGTTGTAAAAGTATTGACTGCAGTGGTAATGTGTGATTATAACCATCGCACACTATAAATTACCACCATGATTTTACCCGCAGTCACAATTCACTGACAATAACAACGTTCTGGTCTGGACTCGCTACGATATTCCAACGAGCAGCAAATTTGTTTTTCCTCAGCGTGGCTGCGTATCCCTAGGGAGAGTTCTACCAGGGCAAGGATGCAGCCAGTACAGCATGCAAGAACCACTTCATCCAATTGTCATTGATCAACTCTCAAGAAAGACTGAGTTCTCTCTCCTATCTCCTCATGGAAACATTTTGATTGGGGATGCAGGCAGGAACGAGGTGCCCTAGAGATATGTCTACATGGAGTCCAGACTTGATTGCTGATTTTCATTTAGGACTGGGGGTGGGGGGGGGGGGGTGGGGAAGGGGAGATGAGGATGAAAGAGCAACAATTCTTTTGAGCAATCAGCAAGTACCAAACGTTTGTGATGGAGATCAAACTAAGGATGCACAAAGAAAACATACTGTGTAAGCACTTATTGAAATCAGGTCGAAAACATCATTCCAAATTCTTAGCAACTCCTTACTTTTTGAACCCAGTCCAGAGTAAAGCAAGTTATTCAGTAAGTGAATTCAGTGGTTATGATTATTCAATAACCATTGTTCCTTTACTATCACACCTGGAAGATTTTTTCCAAATATATTTCTGAAATTGTTCCACTTAGCATTTGTTCCCAGTACCTGATGTTAGGTGAAGGTCCAAAAGTGGACAGAACAGCAGAAACAGAAACAAACTTGACCACTCAGAACCGTACACACTATGACGTCTCTTGAGAAATCAGGCAAAGATTTTATGACATTTCCAGGGAACATTAGTAGACTTAAGGACTCTCTCAAAGAAAACAAACACATTACGAGAATATCCTTGAGAAACACTGCTGCCTCCCCAAGACAAGCATAGCCAGGAAAATTAAAATCAGGATTAATGCATGCAACTTGATTCCTCGAAACATAATCTTCAGTCACCCTAAACTTGAGAATATCTGACAGAGTCGGGGGTTGTATTCATCGGGAAAGCGACGGGACGGTGCCTATAAGGTGTTGGCTATGTGTCCATGCTTCCCCTAGTGATTCTATGCAATCACAGTTAATAAGCAACCAATCCTTCTAAGCGTTCAGTGACCTGATGGATCGATACAAACATCTACTTGCAGGATGCTCAGTGATCAAATTATGAGTTTGGTTGCTGTAAGCAATGAGTCAGGATTACTTGAAATCTCTGTGAACGGACAAAAATTACTAAAAACATGGGAGCACAATCCTTAATATCCCAAGAAAACTAGACAGATTGGAAACCGAGATGAAATAATTCAATTGAAAGAGAACTTGACAGGTGTATTTTACAGCTTAGAGGAACAATCATTGAGTGGCTGTTTGAAGAATCGATCATTCATGTTTTCTTCCGAAAGGTATCTAAGCAACACAATTCCTTGACAAAGATTTTCATTTCAGTAACATTTTTGGCATTTCATAAACACCATGACAACATTCACTTGCGAGACTTTAAGAAATGTTTAATGATTGAGCGATTAATACATTTTTTGATGGACAAATGCAAAAAAAAATCAATCAAAATTATGTACAGTATGAAAACGTCATAAAATTTGAAAGGAGTTGACTGACATGTTTCATTGCCATGAAGTAAAAAGAACAAAAAAACCCCCCAAAACAGCTAATGCAAATTATGTGAATATTCACATGCAATTTAGTTTTATACATGGAGCCCAAGAGGTTTCAAGGAGAAATGCTTTGTGTTACTGATGTAGGTACATCATATATCATCACAGAACACAAGGAAGATGCTACAGTAAGAATTCCCCAATCTCAGCTTGACGATGGTGAATCACGTTCATGGATAGATGCAACATCTTTCGGATTCCCCAAAAGATCTGGTTTATGGAATGCCTGCTAATGGATGAGCTAAGCTGACTGACTGACTGACGGAATAAGTCCATATTCAATCTCCCTAGCTACTTGTCGATGTCTTCAAGTCGCCTCATCACTCTAAGACAGCCCATTCTAGACACAGCATCTTGCAAGACTACTGGGATCTTGTGCTCCCAAAATACAACCCGGCTACTCCGCCGTTTCTGCCCCCGCCTAATTTTAGCATTTTGACTTGCGCCGTGCCATTGTCAATAAATGTCAGGTTCAGTACAGGGTTGTGAACCCGTCTTGACGCGACACGAGGACCCTGGAATTTGAAGACTGACGTCAGAAATCCAGGTTCTTCATCAAAGTCTGTCCTGTGAGACCACAGGTTGCATGCTGAGTCTTAGTCAGGGCTTGCAGGCACATTTGCTCATGGTTTTAAACCGGTGCTGGCAGAAAGTTGGTGCATTATTGGATGTCATTGGATTGACGATACAGTATTCTTAAACCCCAGGATTGTTTCTCACTCTCAGATGAAAATCTTCCTTGACGCCTTGACTTTATCCTTAAAAGTGCTCAGAAATTATTCTGTGCATGCAGGGATTGATGACAGTGTAACTGTGGTGATGATGATGATGAAAATGTCAGGACTTTAATTCAGAAGATTTTATCTTGGATTTTAGTTCAGAGGGGGAGAAATTTAAAGTGATGATTTTAGACAAAGTTAATAGTGGGGGATTTTGTTTTGACGGCGGGGAAAGGTACCGGTAGATCCTCATAGTTTTTTTCCTCATCTATTGGCATCTTACCTTTAGGTACAATGATTGGTCCAAGATGCATGTTTTGCAATCTCTGATGAGCAACCTTCTGAAGCTGTCGCCTCTCCAACTCCGATAACTGCATCAACGCTGTTGTCGTCAAGGTAACAGTCCGACCACTCACACTGTGCCATCTGCAGTTTCCCTGTTGGCGACAAAACACAATCTATTCAATACATCTGTTGGGAAATCTTCAGACATAACTTTTGGGGGAGGGATTGATCATGATTGTGCATAGTTTCCTGGTTGAGGTGTCAGCTGAGATTACATTGAAACCTCTTTCAGGGCAGTTTGGCACTGTGTATACTCAATGCCTTAGGTGTCTGGTCAACAATGTGATGTTGGTGGAATGTGAACCCTAAACCACCCATGTAGTTTCCTGGTTGAGGTGTCAGTTGAGATTACAAAAGCCTCACTCGTGGCTGTTTGACACTGTGTACTCAATGCTTTAGGTACTAGTCAACAGTGTGATGTTGGTGAAATGTGAACCCTAGACCATCCATGTACACGTACAATGTCAGTTCCTGGTTCAGGTGCCAATTGAGATATGGAAATATCTCGGGCTGTTTGCCATTGTGCAATTAGTGGTTCTGGGTCTTATGCAGACAACAAGTGCTAAAACAAATTATGTGACGTTGGTGGCTCCAAGTATTTTGGATTATTTCCAAAATTTCTAAAAAATCTTAATTCCCTTTCACCTTATTTGGGATGAATATCTGCAATATCTATTGCCTCACTACAAAGTGATATTACTTTTGCACTCTTCCATAAAATCAGCTTACATAATTAGATTCATATGTCACATGCATACTGTACCCAAAATAAAGCTAATTACAGAAACACATATTGCTGAAATTAAATTACTAAATCAGTTTCTTTGACGTTTTGTACAGATGTTTATTATTTTCAGGCTGTACATATGTAAACGTAAATTGGACACATAAAGTCCTACCGGTTTATTTGCTGCAATGTGTATGAATTCAATTCACATAAAAAAAACCTTATTTTTTTCTCAATCAATCAGTGTTGTCCGTGTCCTCATCAGGAGAGTTCAACCTTTCTGCAAAGTTTGAGGGAAAACAGTTCCCAACAGAAATGCCATTCATCCAGCATGTTGCCTCCACTTCACAGAATCAATCAAGCACCAAAAAAGACAGGCCGGTCATCGGCCTGCAAACTCATCCTACTCATACCAGAAATGGCCAGAATTCAGGTCATAAATTACCATGCCAACAGGGGAAATATATAGCCGAATCTATCAACACTACATTATTACTCCAGAGGCAGGTTAAACCAATGGTGCAATTAGGAAATAGCAGGGACTGTTAGTGGTTTGAAACATCTCCTGTGATGCATGGATTGTTTTGGAGTCAGTCCATGGAGGAATTAGGAGGTACACATGTACTGGTACATCTCCAGAAGTTTACATGTTTGACTCAGTTCCAAACATCAAATTGTCTACTTGGCTTCAGTTACTTGATCAAAGCTATTCCTCAATTAATTAAAACTAAAAACAAACATTTGTTTGTGTGTGCGAAACAAACTGCATTCAAGCAATTTGTGATATGGTTTATGGTTTATGATTTGGTCCGAGTCCCGTATCATATTCTCGTCTGTAACTTAGTTTTCAGTGATCATGGCATAAGACCTGTGACCAAGAGTCAAAGGGTAGTGTTAAGGACTGGACCCATGTTGACCTGACTTGTTACTGAGGTCATTTCTTTGCAATGTAATAAAGAGGAGGTAATCGTAGGATGGGCTCTTTTTGAGATGGTTTAAGCTAATGATGTGATTCAATGCTCCCATGAAGAGCAGGTTTTGAAGTGTGGCTCTAAAATGCAAGGATTTCCTGGACGTGAAGCTATTCCTTAGTCATGGAGGGAGGAAGATGAGACAACACAACAAGATTAAGACCCACAAATGACAATGGATGTCCGAAATCCAAGAAAATGTCTTGAGTATAGTCCGAATTGTGGACAACTTTTCAACTTTGTGTTTAGAACATTTATGTACATTATGTATGAAGAACAACTTGTATTTGGATATTTCATTATATTAGTGGAGTGGTACATAAAGCATGTTCCTATGCAGTGTTCTCCAACTTTGAAAATTAAAGGTTGGCGCTGGGGTTGGCGGGGACTCCTGCGAGCGCGGAGCGCGAAGCCCTTACGGCGTGGGGTCCGGGGCCCGCTTAAGGGCCCCGGGAAAATTTTGGATTCTAGATGCTCTGTGGTGCAATCTGAGGCGATTCTCTAGGCCAGTTCCCCCGATTTTTTTAGCATTCAAAAATGTCCTTTTCAACCTAAAGCAGACTTCTCTCAGATCAAATGACACCTTTTTGTAATTTTGAAAAACAAAATGGGATACAAATTACGTTTTTTTTAACGCGATTTTATGGGTGGTGCCGGTGCCGTGCGATCGTCATCTTTATTTTCATGTTGCGTTTTGTCCTTGTCACCGTCATTTCCCCCCAAATTTCCTTCTATTTATGACCTACTTGTATGTTCTTAAATGTCGCCAACTAGTTTGGTAAGTCAAATAAATTAAAAGTGGATTTTGTTCTCTTAGGGAACCGGGCCCATACACGATCGCCATTTATAACTTTTGACAATCGGCATGATCGGAACACCATGTGCACGCGTGTTTTGGCCTCGAGCTCGTTTGCCTCGTACAAAAACATCAATGCGTATTATATTGTGTACCGCGCGTGCAAGCACTGAGAAAAAGAAAGTCGGTTGGCTGCACGTAAGATCTGCTGTACGTACTCCTGCTGGTGTGTGTGTGTACTAATACAGATATATATTTTTGCGGCGGGGTTGTCGCTACTTGAAGTATCGGCACACTCCAGAACTGGGGATTCAGTTGTCAGTGTGTGTACATCGCGCGTACCTAGTATAGTACGTACATGTACAGTGCATGGGGAATCGCTGGTGTTTGCATGGCCGGCCGTGCGTGTGATTGATTCAGCGAGATTTTAAGACAACCCCGATCGGGCTGGGATGACATCGAAATACATTGTTAATGTGTGGAAAAACAACTGAAATCAATTATTTTAGTTGTAAATGTACACTGTAGAGTCAAAAAAATTAAACCTGGCGGCAGGATTTTAAAGCTTGGCGGGGACTTCTTAAACATGGCGGGCGCCGCAGAAAGCATGGCGGGGCGCCAGGTTTGTTCTACATGTTGGAGAACACTGCTATGAATCAAGGATTGGCAGAAAGGCCCCAAGATATGATGGACACTCAATGCAGTGTCAGAATTTGTTTGCATGCATACATTATGCAGCCCAGCCAATTTTCTATTTAATGTGAGTATCTTGACATGAGCGGAACAACCCTAAATGCATAAAATAGAAATCTAGGGCTGTAGAGTCCCCTGTATACTCATATTTTCTTTTCTTTTTTGACCTTGTGAGGATTTACATTTACTTATGCATGGAATCGACTGCTTGTACAACATTTAGCCTTATAAGTGTTTTCCTGCAGACATATGAGAATATATGGAATAAGATTTTTCTGCTGAGGTTATAATTAGCTTGATTTATCTCAAGGTGCACACACTTCATGTTTATCCAAACATGAAGAGCAAGATAAATAGTATGAAAAGTATAGCAAATACACCCAGGCTAGAGACGCTGCTGTAGATGCAGACATGGAGCACATTGACAATTCAAAAGACTGTCATCCTTCTCAGAAACACTGCAAGGGTGAAGATTGTCTGCATGGAAACGGGATGAATCTCCACGGTAACGTCATCACTTGGCAGCTATGGCAACTGACAAATGGCCAACGTTTCTGCAAATATGTGTGAACAGATGTCAACGTGTCCAAGGACTAGGCAGTGAATTGTAGCAATTTGTAAAATGCACTTTGCAGAATTGGCTAGAGAGGTAAGACAGGTCAGATAGATGCTGCAGGTCACAACCAATCTGGGCTACACCAGGAGGACTCCAAGGCACTTAACTTTATTTGAATAAGGTGAGAAAATGTATCAAAACGCTATCAAGTCTGCTTTGAACTCTGCCAAGTAGAACAGCGTTTAGAGATGGAGTGCTGATTTGTAATTTTCTACATTTTAAATTCTGCCAATCAATGGCCATTAATACTTAAAGAGTAATTAAAGTATTCTTTGTACAACAGTTGAGTAAAATTTCAATACGCATTACTGTCATAATAAATTGGCCTGTTCAGCGTGTATTTTTTTTTCTGTGGGTGAAACAGTGTGAAGTCACATACCACAGAGATGATTGGCTGATGAGATAAATACACTACTGTGTCTAATCTCAAGAACATGTTTCCTGAAAGTCCTTAAACACATGCAGACAGTCTGATCAGGCATGTGTATTAATGCACATTTTTCACATTCAACACAATTAAGCCTTCACGTATGAGTTGACATGCAACAAAGACAGATCCTTGCTGCTGGCAATCGGTAAAATGTGACATCAGCACGTTGTAGTGATACCCATGTGTCAAGGGACACTCTATGGTGAATGTGCATGGTAGAATGTTGCAGTCAATGATTAAGAGCATGCATGCAGGCTATTTCTATCCACTCTTCAGAGGAAGATTAGTTTTCTCCAGCAAGGGCTTCATTTAGCTCTTGATGAAGCCAGACAGGAATACGTGAGCAACTCGCTGACTGTGTTTACTCAAAATGACTGATGTGGTCTCCGCTCTGTTGGTTTAGCACGCAGTGCAGTTAAATAAGATTAAGAGAAGGACAAAAACGACTGGGACATTTTGCTTGCATAATCTTTGTTTCCCTTCTCAAAATATATGCAAGTTTACATGAAACTTGTGTCCTCCTGTTTCTGTAAAAATGTTGTAGTCTGAAATTGTTGAGTCAAATTTTGAGTCAATGAATGTAATGTGCCAGCACCATCTTGACAAAACAGCTCATTAACACATTCAATCACACAATGATAAGCAATAGAAAATATATTATTTTCAGCAGTGTACATCAACAAAGTCATAGACCCAAACAAATTGTTTTGACACAAATTTGGTTGGGAGGTACATGTAAGTTCCATTTACAGTTTGAATCAATTATAGGGGTGTAGTTAATACCATAAAGAATGTAACCTGACAAAGTTATGAAAACTTCCATAGGCAATAACTTAAAGGGAATGTACATCATTGGTTTTTGATGTAATTTTCAGAAAT